TATATATATATATATATATATATGGGACATCACATTAGGTATCATTTTACCTATTTTTTTTCTTAACCTAAATTCTCTTATAATTTGAATATCACAATGTTTTTGTAAATGTCTCTCTCCATATACGTTGGAGTAACAAGGATGTTGCGTCACCTTAGGAGCATTTGCAAGATTTTGGTAAGAATAATTTTTAAATTAAAATTTTCAAGTTAATTTTATATTTCAATATAATTTTTTTTTATATATTTACATAATAATATAATTTTACAATACAAAAAAGCATTACTACTATAGTATTAAGTTTTCTTCAAAACTTAATTGATCTTCATATGGTTGGCTACTTAACGTTTGAGTTTGATTTTGAGTTTACTAAAAATTATTAGATGATTGATTTTAAGTTTATTAAAAATTATTAGATGATTCAAGACTATAAGGTTTGTAATTAGTTTTTATATGATATGTAATTACATTTTATTATTTTTCTCATATATTAAAAAAATTAAATAAATATTATATAATAATTGGCTGAAACAATGAGACTATAAATATGTAATAGTTCTGAACGATCTAATTCTTTTTCGAGTTTAAGTCTAAGTGACCTAATTAATCAAAAGCGAAATCAAATAATTTAATCATTGAGCCTATCTTTAATCACACAGCCCCATCGAGTTAGTCGGGTCACGGGTGGAACGGCTTGCGAGAGCATATGGTGGTTCTAAACTGTTTGGAATAGTTAGAATTGACAATTTTTTACTACTTCTTCCCTAAATTTAAAATTTTAGGAGCTCAATGGGTCATGATTCTTGAACCAATTTATTTATTTATTTTTATTGTAATGACTCACGGGCCAACTTACATATATCTAGATTTTAATTATTTTTGTATAGATCACAAATTTGCTGGTTGGGCCAAATTGATATTTATTTTTTTTTGCATAGCATTTGATATATTACGCATTCATTTCATGGGTTGCGCCTTGCGTATCTAACTTGGGTTTCAGGCTTTCACATAAAAAATTCAACCAAAATTATACTTATTCAGGTAGTTATCTACGTACTCTAAAAAATCAGGCTACATATATTCTCTAAGATATTCATTTATGTACTTCAGCCAAGGCCAGCCCAATACTATTTTTTTTCTTTTTATCATGCACGCCTATCTTTCGGCCACTAAATGTCTAAATCATACATCAACTCGTATACATCAATTCGTAGATGATATTATGAATATTGTTGATTTAGAAGACTTTCGTATACAATAGATATTGAATATGAGATTCTTTGTTAAATAAATTATTTATATGATGTATGAATATAAGATATTTAACCATTATGATCTAATTATAATGTGATCGTTCTTATAATATTGTACATATTGTTGATCCAAAAGATTTTTTAGACACCAAAGATTTAACATAAGATTCTCTACTAAATAAATCATTTTTACAACATGTAAATATAATAAGTCTAAAGCATATGTTAGGTTCTTTTACTAATATATGATGTCCAATTTTATTAACATATACAAGTTTTTTATTTTATAAAATTAATGATAATTTTTTTATTAAACTTTAAATTGTGCATGCAACTGCAGCCCATCTAATGGCAAAAAACATTTAATCATAGATACCCTGCGAGGAGGTATATAAGAGGGGAAAAACTAAGAATTCATCAAGTATATATGATTAAATTAGAATTCAATATGCAAAATTCAATGAAAATGAAAATTGAATAATTTTCAAAAGAAGGAAACCATGAAACGTTTAATGACATACAAAAAATATCCTTATAAATACAATATATGTAGGTATAAATCTATTTAATATATAATTGTATACAAGTTTAGTATTAATTTTGCATAAAATTTAATAATATATATTATATATCATTATAACTTATATCTACACTTTTTAATAATATACTAACATATATTATATTTATAATATAAATAAAAATATTTTTTAATAATAATTATTGTGTCACTATAAAATTAATGTCGATCATTCCATGACAATTTTTTTTTTAATATATATAGCATTGCAGGTTGAAAACACCTAATAAATAAACATATACTGTAATATATAGTTTTAATTATTTTGTATAAATATTAAATAAATTTATTTTTATCATATTGACACTATATTATAAGAGATTTTAAAATATGAAATCACTTTAAGAAAAATATTTGAATTTCAATAAATAAGATTTTGAAGAAAAAAAAACATTGTCTTAATTTTAGTTATCATGAATTTTTTTCTCTAATTTTAAAATTTAAAAATTACTAACAAAATAAATTAGTGTTCCATTAGAAGTATTAAAATTTAAGAAATTAATTTATTAAATATACGTAATATATGTTTATAGAGTACCGTAAATTGTAAAATAGTAATAGAATTAGTTATTATCAAATATTGAACTTCTTAATTAATATTTAATTAAGAATTTTATTAATTAAAAACAAAAAGTTATAAATTAAATGAGATTAAAATATATTTAAAAAATTTACCTCAGGTCTAACTCATAAGCTAATTAATATATAATAATCGTTTATGGATCGTGGAATAGATAATGGGATGGTAGTCAGCGGTAGGGGTTGATCCACACTTAAGCAAGGTCAGGAGTTCGAATCCTGCCTTGTATATGCAGCCGCGTTAAATCTTGGAACCAGCTATCCCACCCTTTGAGGTGTTTCTCGAACAAAAAAATAATGGGATAGTAGAAATAAAAAAATAAAATAAAAAGGCAATTAACCATTTATTCATTCATATAAACGTATTAAGACATATGTATTCAATCATTCTTTACCACATCCCGATCCCCCCAGATTTATGAGGCTATCTAGATCGATATGGAACAATACATTAAAGTATTAAACATATATAATACTCCGAGCTACGTATGGTTTAATCCAAGTAAGTTTCCACTTTTATTACAAAGACGTTTGGAAAGGAACGCTAGTACGAGGCAACCAAACATCTCCATCCAAGAAGTTGGACACAGTAAAGTTAGCTGCCTCAGTAGCATCGATAACATGATAACCAGGCCACGTGACGCGGTTTGTAGTATTTGAACCAGGACCATTGTTATCATACTCTGCATAGTACAACGTGCTCAATGCAAAACTTCCATTCCAATCATGCCACCCAACAGGAGCTATCAAACTGTCCATGAAAGACTGCATATAAACGGTTCTTGAGTACTCCTTCCATGGCCTCCCAAGGTATGTTTCCACCGTTCCAACCACGGGAGCCAAATCCTGTGCTGCTTTTATGGTCGCATTTTGTATGGAAATGCCGGTGTTTTGATTTGGATCGGTTCTACCTTGCGCAGTGATGGCATTGAATTGTCCACTCATGGGGAGACGGGGATATAAGTTGCAGTTTTGCAAAACAACAGCTCCATTTCCAAATATGAAGTCAACTGTGCCGTATATGTCACATTCGCGATAAAACTGCCTCATGGAATGAGTGTATAAGGTGTCTTGGTACCCTTCAAAGCTACAGCTATAGAAGGTGGACATGTCAGCTCCATTTCTTACAGCCACTGCTTGGTGCTTGCTCGGTCCAGCAGTGTTGCGGAATGTTATGTTCATTGCTACGAATCCTTCTGCTACCACAGCTGCAAATCGATCACCAAGATATTAACATGTGCTCTTCAAATTTACCAACTTATATTTAGAGCATGTCTAGTTACAAACTTAAAAATATTTTTTAGAGTTTCATTACTAGAAATAAAATAAAAAATTTACATAAATAAACTCTCGTAAACTCTCTTAAACCTGTATAAATGCAAGCAGACTCTTAAAGTTCATATATAAATTCACGTTCATGCCAAAAGCGGGCATACACGCTAGCAAAATTAATTTACAATGTTATGCATAGTCTTGGAAAGTGCGTGGATTTAAGCTTATTTCATTCTTACAAAATGTGTTCATATACTTTTAATTATATTTTATTTTAGGCATATCTCTAGTGATCTATATATATACTTAGTTACTTACCAAATGTGGCCGAGTTGAATGTTGTAAAGCCATCAACAACGTTGTGATCCCCAGTGATAATTGTCCTGTTGATTCCATCTCCGATTAACATCAAGTACTTTTTGTTTTTTGCTATAGATACATATTCTTGATATATACCCTCGGTGATAAAAATGACGAAGTAGCCATCGGCAGCAGCAGTGTTATTTGGTGCAGCAGCTATAGCTTCGTTGATAGTGGTAAAGTTTCCACTTCCATCTTGACTAACAACCACAGAATCATTCACCACTATGCTTTCATTGTTATCCAATGTTTGAAGTAGTTTTCTCCCATTGCCATGAATGGCACGTGCTTTGTTTGACATCTTCAAGGGTACACGATCATTCTTGATGCTCCCATGTTGTTGCCATGAGATTTTGTTCTCAGGAACCCAAGCCTTGGTAAACAAATCAAGTGAGACAGTGTGAAGCTTGGTATCATTCGAGAGTACGGAAGAAAGATCGTTCCTCACTCTTGGATTTGAAGAAGCTGAAGTTTGCAGGCCATCTAAACAGGTTTGTTCATTTGTCAAAACAGCACTAAGCAATGTGTGAACATCCTCTTCTTGAGAGGTGGGAAGAACATCGCCAGCTTTATCAACAGTGTCATGAATTGTTAATAAGTAATCAACGTTTAGCTCAGCAAGGAATTGACAATCTTGGAGAGCACGAACTGTTGGTTGAGAGAAAGACGATGGATTTTGAAGATACGAATACATGGTGTTCAAGAACTTTCGAGACTGGGACAAGGAGTATCGAACAGAAATGCGGCAATAGTCGTATATGTTATAGCTACCATTTAGATTAGCAAACTCAGATTTGCAGTAAGTAGGGTCCATGGTTGACTGGCATATAGTTTCTGGTGGAACAGCTGCATGGTTATTTTCAGCTATGGAAATCGATGCCAAGGATAGCATAAGGGAGACACAGAAAGTAAGAAGGAACAAGTTGTTGAAAGCCATAACCATTGGTTTTTTGGATGTAAGAATAACAATTAAGGGTTGTTGGATGGTATGGTGTGTGATCGATGCATAGATAGTTAGGCTTGTTATATAGGGCTGGGTGGCGAGTATGTCTCGTTTAAATTATTAGTTAACGTGGCAATTCAACTTGAAGGAATTTTCGTTGCCTACCTACTTGGTGTTGGTGCCATGGCTCCCATTATCTTGGTCAACTGCTCCAAATTAAACCGCTATATGTATTGAAATATATTTGATATAGAATTTAGGATGAACATTCATCAAGCTAACTGTATCGTGCGTGCTTGTATCCAAATATTCGTAGGAATTATGTTTATTTGTTTAAACTGCTAGCAATATTTGTTTGGTGCCTAACTTATCTGATAATGCATAGGATATGAATTTGTATATGTCAATGGTCGGGTAGGTTCCTAGCAAAAAATTTCGTGCAGGGCTATTCACGGATAAATTATATATTATATAAATAGCTAAGGACTGGTATATCCCTTTTCTATTTTTATTTTTAGTGAAAATGAAAAATAATGCTCCATTAATTGTCATCCTATTGCCAGCAATCACAAGTCACATGAAACGATAGATAGAAATAAGTAAACTAATTAATGTGGGTTGTGGTTTGGCGAATTGAATGTCTGACCATGTGCTGTGTTGCAGTTATATCAGCGGAAAGTCAATCGTTTGGTGAGTGTTGGAACACTGCAAACATAATAATGTTGGAGAGATTCTTTAGATGTAGCCAGACAAAATGATATTGAAATATGATGAAAAAAATTGATACTAAAAACTTTCTCTAGTTATTTTTAATCCTCAGTTTTTTAAAATGAATGAGTTTTGTTTTTATTATCTATTATTTTGAAAACATAAGATAACGTTAAAGCTTGGATGTGTTTTTAGTCACTATAAAATAATTGAGTTTTAATATTTAGTTTCTTTATTTTTTATTTCTTTAAATCTTGAACTACTATTTTTAGTCTATATAAATTCTGATTTTGGTCTTTTTAGAAATTTTTTTATTTCTCCAAAATTTAAAATCACTGAATTTTATTCTTATTGTTCAATTTAATATAGATAAATAACACTTTAGTTAGACATATTGAATATATCTTATTATAGTTGTTACATGTTAGATATATTATCACAAACATTGATAAGTGTTATCTACATACCATTCATCATGAGTGGATAATATATCTCACAGAATAATAGGGATCGATAACAAAAACAATGATTTTCAATTTTAGTATATAAAAAAAAATGGTAAGAATCAAAATTAAAATTTGTTCACTTTATGATAACTAAAAATATATTTAAGCATATTAATTACTCTTCTTAACTAAATATATCCTTATTTTTACTTCTTTTTTTATTAATTTAGAAATTCAATTATAATTAGTATGTATTTATTCTGTAGTAAAAAAAAATAGTATTGTTAAAAGCTCTAAAATTAATTTATGAAAAAATTAAAATTTAATGCAATTTTTTTTTTTGTTTATGTAAAAATAATCTTAAATAAAGAAGCGGACGTGGTAACCCACACCTCTTTTATATTTTAGTTTAAATACGTACTTGTTTCTACCTATTCCAACTTCCCGCCAATAATTTGAATAGTTCGTCCGTGTCCACGGCTTAACGGGATAACTTATAAGCAACTCCTGTGTTATATCACTATCACATCAGTTCTAATTTATTTTATGAATTATTTAAATTTTAACAATATGACAGTAATATGGTAGAAGAAGTTGCTTATAAATAATTTTATTGAAAATGCTCTAATAACGAGACTAATTAATGTCCATTAATTTGAATCAGGGATGGGAAAATATAGTCGATTTATATGAGTATCCGCAAAAAGTATTTAAATGAAAATAAAAATGAGAGTGAACGAGAGTATTTATACAAAACTCAATTGTACTGTAGTACTAAGTCACTCCAAAATTTGGATCATCTCCAATTTTTAGTGTATAAATAATATTAATATTCTAATGATTGACATTTAACTTCCTTTATTTACTCAAAATTATAGAAAATGATGACAAGAATCTGAGAGAAGAAATGGAGAAAATTTAAGTCTTGTCATGATAAAAAACATGATTGAATAGACATTTTACTAAAGGTATAACTTATTAAATTTTTTTGACAGAATTAGTTATAAAGAAATTTGTTAGATATTTTGTAACATAATTAAAAAAAAATCATTCAAGAAAGTGGGTTACATCAAACTTAATATATAATATATATTTTTTTTAGGCATTGTAAAGAGGACGTACACCAAATCATAAAACGGATAGATTCCATTATCATTTAAGAAAAACACTAAGAAAGCTTAACCTTTTTGAATTAGGAGAGACAAAGTATTTCATATTTAACATCTAATTTATCTATAAGTAAATTATCAATTACAAAAATATGATAATAATGAATTTGATCAAATTTATCCATTATTTATTTAAATGGATGATTAGTGAATATTCACTATAAATCTATTTGATTATGAAAATAGAGTATTGGATTGATATTTTAATATATTATTTTGACATATAAATTTTTTTTATGAATTTTAAAAAATTATATAAAAATGCAATGAGAAAACATTGTTAAATTTAATATTGTGTGTTCCGAGTGACTTTTAAAATATTCCCATAAAATTGTATGAAGTATTTAAATATTGATTGATTTATGTT